AATTTATTAAAAACGACGTCAGATCAGGAAACGATTCCGTAAAAGTCGGAAAACGGTTTTTATCGCAAAACGGTCCGGAAGGACCTAAAACGCGATAAAACCCATCTCGCGATTTCGACGGAATCAAACCCGCGGATTTGATAACGTTTTGACGGTTTACTCGCAGAAAGAAAATAAAAGTCAAGTTTAAACATAAAAGAAAGATTTGAAGAGAAATAGAAGATTTCCGCAGAAGAAAAGGAAGGATCGAGAAGAATGGAAAGTTCCCGATTTAAGTCAAATCTGGGCGAAATGGAAAGATTGGATTGCCAAGACAAGGAGTATATAAAGAGGAGGTCTAGGGCAGAAGCAGACACGAAAATTCAGAGCTCTCACCACCACAATTAGCATTTAGGAATCTTTCCGTTTTTCTGTTAGCGAGCTGCGTCTCAATTAGGGTTTTCTAAGTTCTTACGTTTACGGCTACTCTTTTTGTAACCAGTCCAGCGCAGATTCGGAATAAGAACCTTCTTGCTTTCACACTTCTCTTATTTTCGTTTTTATTCTAAGTGTTTTAGTCATCTTAATCTTTGTTGTGCGGTTCTCGCAGATAGCCGGTTCCTCTGGAAACTTAGGGTTTTCCCGAAGTTTCCTTTTTTACGATTTATTGACAGTAGGGTGAAATCGACTCCCACAATTCATAAGCTTAAGTATATCACAGGTGTTGAAGGCGCCTCACGGGGATCTTCTGACATGCATGGAAATGGCCAAGGCATATGACTTTTCATTGCCTGCGTTTGTATGTTCTTTCGGCGAGCTAAGTGCTAACTGGGTTATTATTTCTTACTGGTGATAAATAGGTTGCTGATTTGATTGCTTTTGTTGCATCTGCAAAATCTCCATGGAAAGAGAATGTCTCTAACTTCATTGACTCATTCGGAAGTCAGTTCCTTTCTGTGCTTAATTCTATTGGTCTGCCAAGCACCACTGTGTTGATCCGTGTAAGTTCTTTGCTGCCCTTGGTCTATACAAGGTTCTTTAATCTCTCCAACCTTGCTTTGAAGTTTCGCTTCACCTCGACTGATTGCAGGATTTACCCAGTGAATTGCAAAAGAAAAATGACCTGAAAAATATTTGTGCCAAGCAACTGGCTTCTAAATTTCCTAAGGATTGTGAGTTTGCTCCAGCAGATACCAGCGATGATTTGCGTAAGGTAAATTTTCCTGATTTAGTGTCTCCAAATAGCCTATAGCTAAGTGTAGATGATTCAAATACTCACTTCTTGGTGTTCTTGCAGTTTATGTGGCTATTCAAGGCACAAAGACTTACTGTACCTCATTGGAGAAGTCAACGGCCATATGTTGTGGCTGAGAAGGTGCTTGTTTTCTGCTTCTATTGATAATATTTAATTTGACTGAGAAAAAGGTTTCGTAAAAAGTGATGTTATCTCCATATTCTTGAATGGTACATTTAGGTTGGAATGCTAGTGGCTGATGAAAGCTCAGGAAAGTGCACTCTGCTTCTCTCTGGTTACTTGCGGGCTCGCAAACTATCTGTAAATCAGCTGGTAATCATCCCGTTCTACTCTCTCTATTACGTCTTATGCTATAACAATGTCTGATTCCTTAAATTTTTGTTCTTCAAATTAGGTCCATGTTTCTGCGGTCGGCGATTTCCAGCTCTCAGAAGTTGAAGTCCTGAAGGACCCATTTCCATTGTATGAACGGAAAAAACAGAATTTCATGGAAGTGGATGATTTACATGATGAAGAGGTACATGATATTTTCATTAACTATCGATAAACTGTAAGTCCTTTACCTTTAGGAGCACATTGTACTGAATGCTCGAACAGCATCCTTCAAATAAAATGACTCATGATAACGTATCATGATTGAATATATGATATCCATCTTGAAGCTCTTTAAGTTGTTAGTGCTATACGAAGTTATACCATGGCCTTCTCTTAGTCAGGATATTACCTGTTTTGGAACTGACCAGGTATTGAGGTCTCTGCATCCTGATCCCATGAAACAAGAGCCTTTAGTAGCTGAAAACACTCCAGATCCTTTAGCAGGGGAACAGGTATGTCTGATTAGTTCTCTAACTGATGAAGCGGCCATTTTTATCTGTTCTGAAACTTCACTTGTTGTCTGATGCTCCAATTGTGTAGACATGGCCAACTGAGGCAGAGATGGCTGAGGCTGACAAAAATCAGAAAATTGGAAAACTGAAGAAGAGGACTTTACCGCGAGGGACGTCAGAATATCAGGTTTCTGGATGATTTGTTGCCTCACTTTAGCTATTCCTGTCTCCTTTATATGTCATAATTATGTCATCCTCTCTTTCTTTTGATTGTTTATAATTTGATTCGCAGGCTGCTTGGATTACTGATGAAATAGATGAAGAGGATTCTGATAATGGTGATTCCGATGATGATGTTATGGTAGTGGATAAAGAAGAGGATCACTTTTCCAATCAAGACCAAGATTTTGAGGATGATAAA